CACACACACACACACACACACGCTCTGTCCCGCCCCTATAGCACACTCAGACCCTCCCAGCAGGGACAGATGAGCTCTGTGCTCTCACCACAGTGAACGGCTCAGTGTGCAGGAGAGGACTCTAACACTGCCTGAGGATCAGGTCTGAACTGTAAGTACACTTGTATTCATAAAAACTATCATAATGTGTATTCTTGACAATACTGCTTTGTCTTCTATTGCACTGTATCCAAATGATACAACCTTGTGTAGTAATAATGGAATGATGGGTAACTCTGGGGTCTCATGTTTTCATTTTGAGGTTTAGTTTAAAACACTCTATACTATACTATAGATTTACAGTGTTCACTCAATGCTGCTTTTAAAGTTTTTGATTTTTGTACCTTTACCTTTATTATCTGTGAGTGAGCCAAATGCAAAAACATTTGGTTGTCTGGTGTAGAGTTCTTGATGAGAGTAAAATACTTTTGAAGTTTAACAAAAGCCTAATTTTATTAAAATATATTACTATTGTAAAAAGTAAATACATTAAAATAAATTAAAACCACATTTTAATTTAACAGTGAGGAGAAACTTGTGAGCCCTCATCATCATCATCTTCATAGTGTGTCTCATCACGATAAAAAATTTTTATTCAGCCTCCACCACTCCGGCTCAAACATGGTTCTGTGCGAGGACGGCGAGTGCAGCGTCTGTCTCTCGCCGTACTCGAGGACAGACAGGGTCCCCCGGGTGCTCCACTGCAGACACACCTTCTGCGAGCTGTGCCTGGAGACGATGTCACAGACCAGGAGCGACCTGCTGACTGTGGCCTGCCCTCTGTGTCGCCGTGTGACCTGCATAGGCCGCGGCCTCAGCCTGCAGGAAGCTCTGTGGGTCAACAGCAGGCTGTGGGACCAGATACCAGAAGAGGTGGAGGAGGAAGAGGAGGAGGAAGAGGAGGAGGAAGAGGACGGGCGGAAACAGAGGGCTGAGGGGGAGCGGATAGAGGCTAAACAAGAACCCTCGTTACAAGCAGAATGGTGGGTATGACTGTAAACACACACACACTGGTCATTTTGTTTCTTCTCTCTTGTTACTATTTCCACATGAGCAGAGACATATAAACAGAGAAACCTGTGACCTTTGACCTCCCCTTGTTTCCTCTTACTCCCTTATCATTAGCTTCACTGTAAAGAGAAGAGTAATGTGACCGTGCTGTGACCATATATCTTTAAAATCAGTGTTGAATTTGAAGAATTTTTTACCTGATTTCAAAAAGAAAACAATTCCACTCATACCGAGTCATTCACACATCCACGTGAATCAGTGCGTTTGTCCACAAAGCTTCTCATTAGCACCTCAGCTCGGCAGTGCCACATCCAGCCTGACGCACAAACCTTTACTTTTCAGTGTTTCTTCGGGCTCCACGAGAGCAAAGCTGAAATTACCGGCATTCTTCAGAAAGTTCAGTTTGACGAAGCAGCACAGGGAGCGGATCGTACCCGGCAGCAACGTGTAAGTAACAACTTGGAGGTAAACGGCTGCGATAGCAAAGGAATTGTCTACAAATAAACTGATGTATTTCTGTTTCTCTTTTTTTTTGAAAGGGAGATGAAATCCTGGCGCAGACTTTCAACTGAAGAGACACTTTAAAAAATATCTGACACCTCTTGTAGACCTGAGTCAACCTCATCAGAGGGAGGAAAGTTGTGGCCATGAGGAGCGACAATCCATTTGTGCTCCTGTCAACACGTTGTTTTGTTCTCAGCCAAAGTTGCCCCGTCTCCGCATTATTTATTCTAGGCTTGATTCTCCCAGCTGGTGCTGTGGGATTTGGTTCAGCTGTCCCAGAGGGGCCAACACTCCGAGACCCCTGAGACGCCGTCACAGCAGATGGTCTCCTGAGGACGTTCCCTTTCACATCTGAGCATAACTTATCATTTTTCTTTTATTTATGATAGCAAGTAGCAAAAGTATTTAATAAAACTATTTTTGAAAGAACACTTTTTATCAGCATTCTTATTTACTAATTAATACAGATGGTCTCACGTGTCTCCGGGAGATTTAATAGAATCATAAGCTCAAAGCAGAGACACAAAACTTTTCCACTTTACACTGTACATCATTTATGACACATTACCAATTTAAATGACTCAAAATAAGTGACGCCAGTGGGGGATTAGCGAATAGAATAATGTGACTATTACTTTGCAGGCCCGATACACAACAGAAAACAAGTCACAAAAGACTCAGTGAAGCATGAAAGTGGATTAAAATCTGCATTCATCGAGCATCTGGCCAATCATTTGTGGCACCATATGTTAAAAAGAGGGTGTGGAGCAGAATATAATCTCAGGGTAAGGTCAGTGTTAAGTCTCATTGTGTTGAGTGTCTCAGTCATATTAGGGTCATTGTTATTTGCCTGTGGCAGGAAAGAGAAGTCCGTTAGCTGTCAGGCTGGTTTTGTTGGAGAACTAGTTTCAAAAGGCTGTTTGAACTGTGAGATACACAGTGTGCTTTACTTTGCCTTCCAGTGGCGTCTGTGTATCCTCTTGTTTTATCACAGTGACTGACCATGGAGCTGAGTCTAACCTCTAAATGATCTGGCATCAGCAGCAGCAGCGGCGGCAGCGTTTGGCTGCAGCTGCCGTCTGGACGACAGCAGAGAGCAGACAAACAACAGCAGGGCTGGGGAATCAAGACGGCACAGGACCAGTTTCAGTTTCGCAATGTTTTTACTGACTCCTAATGTTTTCCTGGTGGTGTTGATCTCTGGGATCTGGGGGCGGAACAGAACAGGAAACAACTCCCAGTGCAGGTTGGCGTTAGTAGAGGACGCGATCAGATCATTAAAGCAAGTAGAACATCTGAAATATAACAAATAAGATGACACATACTCTTAAGGTATTACTGAGCAAACTGTCATTCTCTATTGTTTTGATGCAGACTCCAGAATATCCTCCTGCCATTAAATATGTTTGTGGCTCAATCTAGTAACTGTTACATTTCACCACTGCAGGCTGCTCTGGTGACTAATGAGGCAGTTATTAGACTGAGACACAAACATATTTAATGTGGGCATCAAAACAATGGGGCAAGACAGTTTGGTCAGTGCTGATCATCACAACAAGCAGTACATTCCTCTTAGAGTTTGTGTAATACTCTGACTGAATGTCTGGAGGAAATTATAAATACTTGAAGTACTGATGGGTTCTTACAAAACAGACAGTCTGAAGACAAAAAGGGCAACATAGTGAAAACAAACTTTACTAGAAGTCGCAGCCTTCACCTCATGATGGTTCATTTAAGTCAAAGATTTGTTTAAATAGTGACTGAAAGAAACAGTTCAGCATTTGAATATGTAATTGTTTTTATTCCATGGAAAGAGCTGGATGACATGGATCAGTACCACTCTCACGTATGTACACCAGACGAAAACAATTATGTTTTGACCACAACCAGTTTCCAGGATAACAAGTAGAGACTCCAGTTCCCATCTGTCCAAATCTTGTTTTAATACTTCAGAGATTTCCGCATTATTCTTACTTTGTGTCTATTCTACTCTCAATGAATGGTGTAGTGTTAAATTCTACTATTTATTAGTAATGATAGCTCATATTCACAAATCACAACTTGTCTCATAGGGCTTAACAAGGTGCAACATCCTTTAAGAAGAGTGAGGACAAACTACCCAAAAAATAATTTTAGCAGGGAAGAACAAAAAAAACAAAAAACAGAAACCTCTGGGAGCTGTAGTGTGAGGGATCTCTTTCCCAGGACAGACAGAAGTGCAATAGATGTCACTCCTCCATATGTGGGTTAATCCAGCCTTGGCCAATACAGCAGGTAACCGTCATTAACAGAAACTTGTTGTGTCAAACTAGAAACCATGCATGTTACAACATGTAGAGAAACAAACAGTATCTGTTTGACAAAATGATTGTGTCATTGTCAGTAATCATCAGACTGCATATTACGTCAATTCATGACAATTAATTACTTGTAATAATACATGAGGGGGTAGTAGACAGTTTGAAGAAAAAAAAGCCTGGTGCAGGACTTTGGTAATCAGACATCTTTATTAATCGTTTGGAAGAGTCATGCTAGGTCTCTGTACAGTGAGTGGAGAGTCGTCTCTGGACTGTGAGAGAACATACACACCCTCAGGGAATGGCCATGGCCTCCATCCTCAAATGCAGACCGCCCCCACCCATCACACAACAGGCAGAGACTTGTGTTGCATCACTTGGTCCATTTTTAAAGGGAATGTTAAAATGGGCCTTCAGGAAACAAAGCTCTGCCCTCATGTTTACGCACACATACAGAGGAGCATCTACAGCTACGCATCACGCGTTTTGTCCACATTGAAAAGAATGACCCAATGACCTTCTGAGAGAGCTCTCCTCACAAGGCTGTGTGGTCACTAATGACAGCTGTACATTCCTGGTGCAATAAAATAAATAGGCAGCAACACAGAGGGTTCACACATTATTAGACTTTTTTCATGTTGAGGGATTTAAACATGAAGTGCAGCTCAGCACAAGTTCAATCAGGCCATTTATTCACAATTCTCTTTCACTCTCCCTGCCCCCTCTCATGAGCTGACTGTTTGTCTGGTGTTGACGGTAATCCAATCAGATATCACCATGATCTCATTCAGCCAATCGTGTCGTTGCTGTCAAACTTTAAATCTGTTCTCTCTGTCGTTGTCAGCTGCATTACAGTGATTCACCTCTAGTCTCCATAACATCATCACCAGTGTATAGAATCCGTGGGGTGGGCTTCCTATAGTATGAAGCCACGCCCCCTTCCAACCTTGATGACATCACGAGGGGGGTCTAAGCGCCAAATAGACTCATTTATATCACTTTCATTTCTTAATGCACACAGCAATACATTTTGTTCATTCTTCAAATGGTGACTCAACCTTTCTTTTATCACTCCCATCATCACAGAACAGAGTGTTCCAGTCAATGTCTGCTGTGAAACCTCAGCCTCTTATTACTAGTATTATTCGGCTCATTATGAGGGTGAGGAAAAAAAAGAGTGCTCCCCTTTTTTGAACGCGTGTGAACATTTCACAACTGATTTCCTCTACTCTAACACACAGCACACTAATTCCTAAAACATGTTGTAAAAAGTGCAGTAAGATCTCACTTCAAAGACGAGTCAAAGTAGTGTTCTCAACGCCGGCTGACTTCACCACCAGTACGTAACGATACCAGGCTCTGGTAATAATAAAAAAAGAAGACAACAACATTGCATAATGCCAACAAGGGATCAGTAGTCAGTTAAAACTCAAGCAGCAAAGAAATCGTCGTCTCAGTGGGGGACATTAAGTGTGACAGTTTCTATGACAATCAGTCAGGTCTTTTAAATTAAGTGACTGTACATTTACAAACTTCAGATGAACCTGAATAATCTACATGTGCAAATTAGTCTTTTTTGACAGGAATATAACTGGTTTACAATGTTAAAGGTCTGGTCACAGAACCTGATTTAAGTCTACAGATCACCACGCAGAGAACTTTATGTTCCTCTGTGACACAAGGCAACGCCTCGGATTCTCCGGCGCTCAGCGACACGTGCAGGGGCTCATCATCACTACCACCAAATACCACACGACTGCTGTGAGTGGGGGAGTCTATGACGTCCTGCAAACAAACAGTGACCTATGTACACTGTGCCACAATGTGACGACTTGGCAGTGGCCCTCTACATATCTGCATTCTAACGTTGCCTATACAGAGAGCACGTTTACACACACACACACGACAAAAAATATTTTCATAAGTCAAGTATACAAATCCAAACAAAAAGACTTGGACTATCAGAGTGCATTAAGTCACTGGTGTCATGTTACAATTTACATATTCAAACCTGTGTACACTGGTAGACAGTACCTATGCTCAAAAACTAGGCATGCATTAGATACTCAAGATGTCAGTGCCAAGTAACGAATCGTTACCCTCGCATCACACTGAGGTTACGGGTGCTGTGATTGGTCCACCAAACTGCAAGGCTGGCCTGAGCCACAAGATTGAAAATGGTAACGTTTAGGTAAAGCGCCTTCACATGGTCAAGTGTAGGCATAATGCCAAGAGGGTTATGGGTAACGGTTTGGTGTTTGTGAAGAGGACCTCCATCTTTGCCTATAACAACAGTGACATCCACAAGAATAAGTCTACAACCATCTGTTCTCTCCGGCTCTTGAATACAGAGCTGTGTTGTTTTGCATCTTTAAAAAAAAAAACTTTTCCAGAGAGATTTCCCTGAATATACAAAAATACAAAAAAAGAAAGTGGGGAAACTTGCATTTCTACTTTAAAAAAATGTATACACACAAAATGCAACTTCTTCTTTTCCACAAGTCTCTTTTTTTTTGCAAGTTGAAAGACTGTTTTGGCAGTTTCATCAACAAAGTAGGCGACGCTACCTTAGAACCTAATTCACATATTGCTAGTTCAAACTGAACAAATTGTCGGGTGAGGACGCCAGAATCTCAACGTGCAAAGTCAACTGCAGGTTAACCAATAGGAAGCAACATAACAAGCATGTGGTGTAGATGATGTTTTCTTTTTCCAGGAGACGTGCGGAGTATTAGCAGGAGCAGCCTCCTTCAGTCGTCTGCGGCTCCTGCGGTTTGTCCAGTTTGATGTCGATCACTGGAGAACATTAAGGAAGCTTTGGAAACATTTGGTATTGATCAGTCATATTAACCTGATCATTTAGAGGTTGGACTCTGACTCTTGAACCACACACTAAATAACGCCCAAAGATGGCCACCACCTGGAAAACGCAACCAGATCGGCCCGATCCTTGTCGGTGAACTGTGATGGCCGAACTGAAAGAGATGGGTCGGACATGGGGAGAGGCCCAACACGAAGCCCAGGACACGCCTAGATAAAGACAGATGCCTTATGCCCCTAACGGGAAATAAATCATATTTAGAGGAATGACATCTGTGAGTGTGTAAATTTAGTGCAGATTGCTTGAATTTTAAAGGAACTGTTGAGCCTTATTGAAGGTTTGAGCTCTACAGAGGGATTTTTTGTTCTCAAAGACAGAAGGCAAGGCTTGTAATACAACTCTACTAACACTAGATGGAGCTAAATCCTATCTCAATATATTTTGCAGCTCAGACGTCACCGATTCTAACATCCAAAAGATTTCAAATGTGAGTTGACAAGAAAATACTGTATAATTCACCAGAGGGATCCAATTAAAAACATTATTCCTAGTGCATTTATTTCTAACCAGTGGATGTCAGTGGATTTTGGACACGGTGGGAGAGTTGTTGCTGGAACGAAATTTCCTAAAAATCTCCTCTGACAACATGTACAAATTATTCAGCTCAACAGGGAATCCACTCCTCTATTGTTGGTGTTGTAATAAACTGAGACTGGATGTTGGCTGCAGTCTCTGGCACTGCTGTGCATGTCTAAGGAGAGGGCATAGAAGAACTGTGGCCTACATATTGTATGCTAAGTTAGTCTGGAAACAGCCCCACTGTGGCTTTCAAACACTCGTCCTACAATGGGACGCTGGCTGGTGCTAACTGTTAAATGCAGCAGTTAATGTGTGTAAGTGTGTGTGTTTTCCCATTTTATACTATAATGAAACTGTAATAACTATATTTGTAAGCATGTTATCATGTCATGGTTTCATATGAAGGAGCGTGACATATACTTGATGTTCCCGTTTGGATGGTTTCCCATCTGGGATGTGGAGGCTTTCTCTCAGCAGCCGACATTACCAAACCAAATGAGGAGCTGCAGCCTTGAATATTTTAGTCCTCTGATACCTGCATACGTATACGTATATGTGTGTGTGTGTGTGTGTGCTGAAGATATAGTCTACATCTCCTGAACAAAGAATAGACTCATTTTTGTGCCACCAGTCAATGTATTTTGAAAGAAAGCCACATTTGTTTCCTATTATATGGTCATACCAACATGAATTTATAAAGCATGTAATAGCAGTTTAAACAACAGTTCTGTGGCTTAAAGCTGCACAAAGCATCGTCCTGTCAATTACTGTTATTCTTCAAACTACAGCCGAGGAACAGAAATATGCCTGAACACAGGAGGCTTGAGGACATTTCTGAGTGATTCTAATGTGACTCAGTTTGGGGAAAACCGCAATGTTCTCTGTTGAAGCCACTGTATATTTTATGACTTCTAGTGAAAACATGCTGACTTGTCAAGTGTAGCTTTAACTGCTCCACCACAACACAACAGATCTACTATCCCAGTGTCAATCTCACTTAAGACGACATAAACAAAACCATATAGGTTTGCATGGAAGAGATGTAGATTGAATCAGCATGGCAAACTAATTAAAGCTGAATATAAAACATAATTCAATAAAACAATCGAGGACGGGGCCTTTTCTAGTGTGATTTGTTTGACTTTCTGTCTCTCTCTTATTAACATGACTGAAGCCAGCACATGATCTGGGTCAAACACCCTCTTCCCTCTCTCCGGCGTCAGAGCTGCAGTGGTGATAATGTACAGTGACCAAGCTGAAAATTGTTCTCCGATAGAAAGCAGAGGACTCTCCCATAGGCCCCGACACCCACCTTAAATCAGTGAGACCCCGTCTGTCTCTAATTTAAACCTGCCAATTAAAAAACGCAGAACAAAGTGTCCATCATGAACAGCGTTTAAATATATTTTCAAATTCACAAACCAAGGACATATTCTCTGAGGGAAACACACAGTTGTGCTGTTAAAACTCTGTTCTTTATGTGTTGAATTTCCTCAACTTTTATAAAGGATGTGTCTTTGAATGCTTTTCTATCAGTGTGAGACCTGAGAGTAATGAACAATGAACAAAAGATGACTGCACTACCTCACAATGTAACCAAACTCAGTGTTTTGTTTTCTATTTGAGTGAGAGCCCCCTAGTGGCAGAACATTATAAACTATGCATTTCTTGTGAAGAGGACTGATTCGAGCAACTAAAACCTGCTTCAGGGTTTGTATGGGCACCTGACAGTTGTTTTAAGACATGTGAACATATGGGACAAAAGGGTCAATGTGCATTAATTAACTTTTTACAAATATTAATAAAATGTTAAGGCTAATTTTCCTCAGCAGTCCCTTTGCCTTATATTAATAGGCATCCTGCATGTGATGATACACTTATTCGGCCACATAAAATGGACGTGTGTATCAGAGACTAAACCTATTTATCGCTTCTTCCAGTGGGATCAATACTGTTCACAGTTCAATAACGACAGAGGAGGGTCTCCATTATGTGACAGGGTCAGCAGAGGCACAGAGCTCCTGAGGAACTGCCACCACCTGCCATCCACCACCTCACAAGGCTACTCCCAACTCCATTACACCTCATTAGGACAAATAAAAAATAAAAGATGAGAAATAAAGGTAATTGGCTCAACTTGAGTGATGCATAAAAACTAGGAAATGTGGCTCGATTGCAACAAACAATTGACGAGGTTCATTGAAACAGCTCCGAGGTGTCTGAGTTTATTATTGGGGCCGTACAAAGGATGGACTAGTCTCAGTGTGATGAGTAACGTATAAACGTTAACATAGACATGTCTTCACCACACCAGGGTCAGCATGCGATTTATGTTGAAGTTAAAGCAGTTTAATGCTGCAGTGTTAATCAGGACGCCCTGTGAGGCAGGCAGAAGTGACAGTGCTGTAAGCACACGGTTAAAATCAAATGCAATTTCATAATTCACCCACAGTTACCATAGAGATGGTTCCCTGCTTTGTGTATTGAGGATATGAAAGACTGCTGCTGTCAGAGGACAAACAGCTACAACATGAAATGCTGCTGATTTATTGCCTGTACAAAACGCAAGAGAATTATTCATAGACTATGTTTCAGTTGCAGCAGGCAACATGTCTAAGACTAGAATAATGTTGTATTAGACAGTTGCAAAATTATTTGATAAAGCTCTACGTGATGTTGAAAGGAGGGGATAATGCTAAAGGTGAGGGACATTACAGGCACTGACAACAGAGCCTCCTCCACTCTGTCTGTCAGGTGACACGTCTTGATATGTCTGTAACGGGTTTTATTTCAGCTGCTGGTTCATACCTTGTAAATGGAAACGTCAACCAGGATCTGAAGATACAAAACGGCTTATGTTGAAAGATGGGATTACATTTTCACATGTCTTAAAACAACAGGTGTTCATATAAAAACGGGGTCTTTTGCAGGTTTCTGTTGCTGTAATCATTCCTCTTTACCCTGAACGCACAGTTTGTCAATTTCTGCCACTAGGGATCTCTAACTCTGAGTTTAGTGACATCGTGATTAAGCATATAATCGTCTGCACCACCACTGCTCTGACTTCAGTCCTTTCTTTCAGTGTTCATTATTCACAGAGGTACACTCCTCTTTAAATGGACCTGGTGATTCTAGGTCTGGTGAAAACTTAAAGCAGCTAAAAACTGTTTCAATGCTGCTTTTTGGAAGGTTTCTCGGAGGGGCTGGGTTTAGGTGCTGCTTATAATTATTGAATTTGTTTCTCTGAGAAATGAAAAACCAAAGAACGACTAAAAACCTAAACATTTATAATAAGTCAATTTGGACTGTTCAAGCAGGCAATTACAACTCTGACTTATGTAGAAAGGGGATATGACGCCATTGACAGAGGAAAAATAGAGAAGAACCATAACCGGTTTCTACTTTAGCTCATTACACAGACAAAATAAGTGGATTAAAGTCCTTCTGTGTTTCTATTTCTCCAGCACCGCTCAACTCAAAGACAGTGACCAGGGAAATACATGTAGGGTCACACTAAAAAGTCTAACTCAAGCTTCAGATGAGCTTTTACACACAATGAAGGCTGTGTTAGAGAGGGGCCTGTTAGAACAGGAGGACTGATTATAGCCAGCAAAATGTTCATATGGGCCGGCTCGTATTGTTAAAAGGCAGTCTTTAAAAAAACAAAAAACACAACCTATCCATTAATGAGACTGCATCATTTGAACTAATGGTTGCCAGCTTGTATAACCTTAAGGCATCATATCTGATTGGCTGCAATGATTGTTTGGGCTTTTATCAAAGAAGAGAATGGCAGTGATATAGTGGAGTCGTAAATATTTCTTGGTTGAGTAACTCAGTGGGGAAGTGAGGTGATAAACATGATCAGTGATTATGCTTTTATCTTGGTTGGTCATTGAAAGAGTCTTAAATCAACTTAATTGTTTTAAATGCACAGATTACAGACAATGAATTGTGGGCTGCAAGACAAGAGCAGAATATAGGGTTTTGTTCCATTTCAAATTCACTATGTTACTGTTTATTTCAGGAACATTTCTTATCTCTTATCTATGAAAAGAATGAAAGCTGATTGTGACCAACACAGAATATATTATCAGATGTAGAAATCACAGAGCAGCACGAGGAGTCCAGACAACCTGACGGCTCTGTAGATACTGATGAAAATTACAGATTAAATCTGCATCAGCAGCTGTATTCATCTTCTTTGACATCACATATAAACACATGCATTTCTGCATTTTGAATGACTCCATAGGGAATACCGAGCAGATCCCTCCATAGATGGAACAATAAATGAATACTGCACTCTGGTGACTCACTGGACTTTAAAACGTTTCTAAGCCGCTCTCTACAACAACATTTACATGGACAGAAATATTCAAGATATTGTCCCTATACTTATTAGGACATTATTTTGACTAGTGCACTGTCTGATCTAAACCTGCTTGTTGGTAATGGAATGTTTGATCGGCCTGGGGTGATGCTGGTTGCAGCTTTCCCTCTGAAACTGTAAATGTGACCTGCAGTAACTAAGCTGCAGCAAGTACAGACCTGCTGCAGGACTCAGTCCACAGAGCTCTGACGCTGCACCACCGCTGCTGCTGCACAAAGAGCTGTTCACCTGTTTATTCACAGTTCAGTGAAGCTCGACTCAGTACGCAGAACCGCGTTGTTGTAATCGCACTGTTGTTGTGATCGACAACATCACTTGAGTTAATGAGTCCCAACAGCCACGACTACAGAGCGCTGGTCGCCTGTGTATTCTAAGTTTGTGAATATTGAACGTATTGCTCGCACAAATCGCACCAGACTCGACACTGCACTTCCCTAAGCCCTTAACACTACACATGCCAAGTGAGAAGCCTAGGAGAGAAACGCTTCTGGAGACGTGTGAGTCACAGACAGACAGAGATTTCTGTAATTAGCAGATATCTTCAGAAAAAGCTGTTTACAACATAGTGTCTTCAGACTATTGTCTTATTTGGGTTTATATCAGAATGTTGCTATCCAAGTTAATATAGTCAGCAAATGTGTGATATTTCAATTATTCTGCAGTAATGAAAAAACCCTACTTCCTAAATGAGTAATGTTAGGATTTTGTTTTGTCACAGTGAAAAAGTGCTGCAGCCTCCAACACATCCTCCACAGGTGGAGCGGTGACAGCAGCAGCAGATATGAGGTGCCAGTGAGGAGAGTTCCACCGGTTGACTGATGCTGGGGCTCCTGTCACTGGTTTAACCACAGACAACTGCAGCCACCTACTGTCTGACTAACCCCCCCCCTCCCTGCACTCGTCAAGCTGCGGCATTGTCACAGTGAAAAACTTAATTGGACAGGTAGGCGACACATATTTAAATAGGTGTCACTATACAGAGTTCAGTGCTGGAAATGTCTAATTGAGAAGCTGGCAGTGACTGATGCTATCATGTCAGGATGGGTGAGTTTAGATTTGAGTATAATTTTCATGATATGCAAACCGATCAAAGGATACTGCCTTCTTTGCTCGTCTCCTGCATACTTTCCATCCCTGGTAGAGCAGCTGCCACGCGACGAAACAGCTGCAGACAAAGAAACACAAGGACACTTCATTAGTTTAAATCAGGAACACACAATATGAAGAGTGACTTTGTCTTAGTTGTCCAATAATCAGCCCCTTGATTAACTCAGTCACTGAACAGTGATAATATCTACTGATTTAAAATTAAGAGCAAAATTACTGTTTTGTATTACTGCTGAACGCTTATATATTTCTAAACAAGTACAAGTATAGTACAGTGCATGGTATAGTGGTTTGAGTTACTCCTAATTCAGCCAGTTTTTACTATTCATTTTATTGGGATATCAGTTATGTAGGTTGTCAATGTCATAATGCAGCTATAAGATTATACTGTGCTGCATAGCCACATTATAAGAATGTGACTTAAAAAATAATATCTACATATTATGACTATGACTGTATATCAGACCAATGTGTCAGTTCACAGCTGTTCAGTTTTGCACGGTCATACAAGCTGCAGCACTCCATCTAAGTCCATCTAATATTTTAGTTGATTAATCATAAAATTTTTTATCTAAATGATGATTGAGTTGGTGCCTTAAAGCTTGAATTTGCTGAAACAGTATCTCAGTGGGCAGAGATGACAAAAACAACAGCCATTGGTCGCAGGACTGTGACCTTTGTTTCGGATGTTTCACACTCGCAGCACCATGTTTGTCTCTGTCCTGAACAAAGGTGAAGAATAGCCTCCTCTGTCTCTGCTGAGATGGGGTGAGAAGGAGAGACGACTGCCAGCAACGCCATTCACTGACAGACACAATACAGTTCGCCTTCGTCGCAGTGTACTTTCTATTAACTGAACAGACAGACGTTGTTTTTAACAACAAACATCTGTTTAGAGACAAATCAGTGTTGCTGAACCAACCCCCACTTCTCTCTAATCATTACTGTGACTGAATTATTACATGCACGGCTCAGTCTTGGTGATGTGCTGGTCGTGTCAGCAGGAAGCAGTAATGAGGACAATACTGCTCTCCCTGTTTTATTTCCCTGCACATTTAATAGTCATATTTAGTATGAAAAACAACAGGCACTTAAAAGGTTTCCTGTGGAGTTTTGACCACTCGGATTGATGTGGAGCAATGTTTCCACGAGAGACTGTTTGTATCTCCAACACACACATACACACGAGAACTTAGATAAGGTACATATCGCTGCTGCCAGCTTCATGCTGTACGGCTAATCCACAGCTGGTGGTGGTAAAGTGCCAAAACCGTAATCATGTATTTAGAAAGCCAGAGGAAGAAGAAGCGCCAAGGCATATAACGATTTTGGATGAGAAAGAGAATACATTCAATATGATGTGGTGAGAGTGGATGTAAATATAAAACTCCACAGGGCAGATTTAAACTGTCTCAAATCCTTAGTAACTGTAGAGGATGTGGACGGATGTTAAAGAGGTCAACAACCGATCAAATCCAAACAAAATCAAATATGTGCTAATAGAGACAACGCTGCAGAGGTGTACACACAGGTACTTGTGTTAAAAATGACTTGTATAAAAGTATAAGCACTGATTCAACCTCTTTGCTTAAGTAAAAATATTAGAGTATGAGTATAAAAGTAAAATGTTTTCATCTAGAGGCCATTTCTACCAGCTGTACTTGTGCAAAGCAAATGGAGACTCATGTCACATCAAAGTAGCTTGAAGACTATTTAAATTAAACCACTCTTATGTCAAATAAAATATAAAACGTTAAAATAAAAACAGGTGTTAAAGAAAGAAAAGATAAGTGAGCATGAAGAAATGTCCAGAACGAAATGGGTTTCCGTTAATGTATTATTAATTTGAATAGAGCGAGGGATGGGGAATTTTTTGTTGCTCTCCATGTTAGCTGATTTGACCCTTTCCTCCATTTTGTTGCTCCTCATCACGGACATATGGGCCGCACCTCGTCTCTGCAATTGAGTCATCCTCTCTTGTTACATCTTGTTATGCAGCGTTATGTATGCTGTGCGTGATATGCACCGATATATAAATACAAGGGATTGTCTTTTCTGTCCATTTAGATTGAAATCTGTCTTGATTTTGGGAAGGTGGTGCTCGATGATACAAAATAAACAATTCTCCTCACATGGACTACAATGAAAGTAACAAGCCTGTTTAAAAAATGTAAGGAGTAGCAATGTAGGGAGTAAAAGTAATTACGTACGCACAGAAACAAAGTATTTGTAAAAAAGTGTTTGTACCTCTGGAACTCTTCTTGTTTTGACAATCTTTTTTGTTCATTAATATGCAGATAAATGCAGCTAAGAATTTGAGCAAATTGCTGTTTCACTTCACATAATCTAATCAATGAACCTGCGACCTGTAATTCTTTATAGGAACCAAACTCTGAACTCACTCACCTGTTTGACGTTGTAACCCGTCTTGGCGCTCGTCTCTATGAACATGACGCTCAGCTCTTTAGCCCTCTGTTCACCTTCCTCAATTGTGATTTGCCTGTGAATAGAGGAGAGTTATCATCAAGCCACAGCATATTTATGTGTTAGAGGTAATTATACACCGTTTACTATATGACGGCACAAAACAGAGGCTTATTTCCTCATATTAATATTCAACAAAGACGAGAAGATGCTACACAGGATTCGCACTATTTGTGGCTAAAGCTCCTGTTATTCTAGGCTATAGTGTGAACACACCAGAGCTAATTAGCTAGTGAATGAGAGTGATTAATTACATTGTCCTGCGAGAAATTAATAACAGCCAATTTGCATTACATTTGAATGAATCTGGCAGTGATTGTTTGGCTCTGGCTGTGAAACGGAGACTGCCTCAGGTGTCCAATAATACAAACAGAGGAATCACTGCAGTCCTGCTGACTCCAGAGGCCACACAGCCGGCAGGTTCGTTAAGACGACAGACTTAAATCAACTCGCCACTATTCTTCTGGAGAAAAACATGACGTAACAGCTCTGTCGTCTTTGTTTCTCTCAACACAAAAGGAATCTCAGCTCTATACTTGTGCAAAAATACCACTTCTTTACACACTAACTTTGATGAGTTACACATGCTGCTTCAATGCAAACACAGAAACATTTTATTTAACTGATCCTCCTCGTCTTAAATAACTTGCTCTTTGTATCAAAGCACCGAAGAAAGAAATTAAGTTATTCTGAGACAGGAAGAGAAGTTTGTTTAGTGAGAAGAGAAAACACTGCACAGGAGATGTATTTACATAATAACACCATGACAGACTTCCACCAGCGCCTCTGTGGCTATTTCTGGATGCATGCGTCTGAGTCCCGACTTGAAACAACACCGAGGCCTATTCATCGTCAGACAGGCAGTTGAAAATTGCATAATGAGTCTGCAATATATGGCATCCTAGCAACATTCATGCACACTAGCAAAGCATTTCCGAGAAACCCAGTTCCTTTAAATTCAATCAAGCAACACCAAATTGACAAACTTACAGATCCCCTAAATATGCCTGTTTTTTTATCTTGAGCCATGAATTTTCCTCTGTGAAAATATCAAAAACACCAGAAAGTAATATAAAACTCCTCTGTCCTCTGATTCACATTTCCATGACCCATACCCCATCCTTCAGGCAAGTGTAGTAATGCTAACTAACAGACAAATAATCAAAAGCAGATGAAAATATCACCTCACAGAGGTAATGAAGAAGCACAACAGAGTTTACAAAGACTTTTTTTTCCGCTGCTCACTCTACGGAACCTTGACTATTCTTTCAATTCACAAGCTGTTCATTATCATTTAAATATATATGTATATAGGGGGCAATTTTGGTATTTAGTATTTTGCCCAAGGATACTTTGGAAAGCAGACTGAAGGAGCAATCGAACCACTGACCTTCTGGTTAGTAGACAACCCTTTTATTTATCACCTGACGCAGTTCCCCTCAGCAATTTAGCATCTCTCAGCTTACTGTTTTGGTTTTGCAGCCTGCAATCTGACTGTTCTGGTTCACTCTCACTGCTCTGAGGAAAATCTTCTCCAGAGGCAGCAGCAACCTGTGCATGACCCAGCACCAAACAGCTGACAGACACAGTTAGTAGCTGGGGATTATTGTGCAGCTTAAGAGCTGGAAATGTCCCTCAGTAATTATTGTAGACCAAAAAAAAAAAGCTAAGAAGAAAGTGAGTATTGGACTAACATTTGCCAGGTGACTGAAAACTAGGATGAAAACCAGAGCAAACGTGAGCTCATATTTATTCCCTCTCACAGATGGGTCTGGCCTCCCTCCCTTTCGCACAGATCTCCATGTGTCCTGAAACAAGTTGAGCCAATGAAAACCATTTATCCAAACTGATACAATGACTGACAGAGGAGCGCTGCTGAAACATTTTGTTTACAACCAAGAGGTGGCTGCTGATGTGGACTCATCTGTTGAATCTGATACTGTGACAGTGTCAAACAAACTTGTCTGTGTATTTTCTCTCAAAGAACAAACAACTGCAGGTGAAGGTCTTCCAGACATTTTTCTGTTGCTCTGTGCTTCGTCACAGTTCTTGGCCCTGAGTGCTTGTGTAGGTCAATCTAATTGCCTCCAGGGGCATTTTGGTCTGGAACCTTTGATAACGGCCCTTTGAAAATCGAAAATGATCTGAGAGGTTACAGAGCCATTTACAAATGCGCCCTGGTCTGGTGATGTCATGCAATCTAAACACGCAATTTTAAATAAGCATTAATGTTGCTCTGGGTCTGCAGGATGTAAATATGCAACTGCCTGCATGTGTCAGTGTTGTGATTACAACCTGTTGCAGTGCCCCCAGGTGGCCAAAAATCCCTTTATGCAGGTTTAACATAAGCCTCATCAGAGCAGTATTAATTACACGGACACTGTATTATTATTAGTGTATGTGAATATTGACCTCTTAAGGTCAAACGTTGGGTTGTAGTTGTTTAAAATGCTCCCTTTCACACAGGAAATTACCCCCCCCTTTCCATGTCAGACACTTCTTTACAAATCATGTGCTCAGTCCTTTCCTGCGTCATCGTTTCATCTTATTAACTTTTATGTTTTATTGCTTTTATTGTATTTATTTGCTTTTATGTAATGTCGTCTTCTTTTTATTGTTCCTATTCTTTTTTGGTAATTACTGGTTTGAGATAGTCGTGTCTTCTTTTATTTATAGTTTTTTTATCAGTGTGAATGCATTTTTGCTTTGACCCCTGAGTATTCCGTGTCTGCTTTGTAATGTCCATGCATGGACTTATACTCTTCCATTTGGTGAGGATTTCTATTCAGTGAGTATACACAACAGAACCCCCAGTCAAACCTTCATCACCTCCTGTGAGACATTCTCTGTCAGGTCTGAACACATCTGCATGAGGGTGTCACTATGATTCACCTTCATTTCTTTATAACAAATGAAAAAAAGGTTGAAAACATTATTTATGAGATTCAGAATGATTGCTCATGATAATGCAGCAGGAAAATGGAGCACTGGGAAAAAAAAGCAGTAAAATCCCTATTTAATTTGTCTGCACTGATCTGAACAGCAGTAAGACTGATTTACTTTTTGTAAGAAGCAGGTTAGGAGATGATGCTGAGGTTATTGCAGGAATTTGCTTCTTCACCATAGAACATTCACTGGGCTTTAACTTCCAGTTCCTTATTAAGACTCAACTAAATGGCAGTAAAAATAAATTGACCATAAATTAAAGGGGAAAGGTTCATCATTTTAATAACTTTTCTGACAGTGGCCTTAATTTAAAATAGCACACCACTATGTTCGGTAGTTTATTAATAATAATACCAATGTAAAATATATTTAGACAATACTTACTTTTAGGCTTTTGTAAGCATTCATTATATTGTTAAGTTTTTATTCTTTATCTGCATATCTTTGCATGACCATGTCCAGCTGGTACTGTATGTATACGATCTGTCTGTTCTCTGACACTGGAACTTTGGTCTTCTGTCTGCTGTTGAGGCAGCTGTGAATTTGATTTTGACAGTTTCAGTGGGATGCAGCCTGGAAACTGCCATCATCAGCAGTTTTCCTGTTTTCCCTTCACTCAGTTACATGTTGGATCTTTGTGTATTCTTATCGGAATTTCTTCAGTATAGCTTCTACATGCTAACAATGCTAAGTAATGCTTGTCACAAAAATGTGTGTATAATTTATGCATGGTTACATAAATATTATGAGCTAAATAACCAGTGGAGAATGTAGGAGAAGGAAGTTGTCTGATTCTACACTGAAGGAAATGAGCAAGAAGCTCCAACTCCTTAACAAACCATCATCTCTGCAGGGACAAGCTGTGCAGACAGTCTCATGTTCTTAATCATGCTTGGTGTTTGTTGCTACACACACTTTGCATCATGGTTGCCATGGTGTCAAGACATAAAATGAAATGCTAAATAAAAGACGAAAATGATATAATTACTGAGGAAACAGGCTCAGTTGTAACCACACACCTCTTATCTGCCAGATCTGTTTTATTGCCGACCAACATAATGATGACATCACTTCCTCTCTCTGTCCTGACATCGTCAATCCATTTTGACGTCTGCCGGAATGAGTTAACGTCTGTTGAGAAAGGCAAGAAACAAGAGTCACATTAAAGACATTCAACATGCTGAAAGAAAAAACATTTCATCTGGATTTGTATTAGTGCTTGGTGTTTTTAAATCAGCTGCAGAGAAATAATGTGAAATCCACTGACAGATAAAAAAATAAAAATTGAACTCATTACATACATGATAGAAAAAATGAATGCAAGATGAAGATAAGGCAGAAAAGTCCTGGCACATGTCATGATCTTAAGGTAGTAACTCATGGACAGATGGGACTGTGTGATGCAGGCAGTACTGCCATTACGCAATCAATCCACACACTGCAGCTCTGTAGCATGTTGAAGTTCTTAATAACCCTATGACCTTGTCATGCTCATTGCGGCCTCACTGGCATGAAGACTAAGGGTTGTATCCTTTAATCTATAGAGACAAACCCAACATTTTAAGGTGAAAAGATAAATGTTTGTGGTGGATGGTAACCAATATTTTTTTTCTTTAGATTAGAAAGAATCTCCTGTGAGCAGACATATAACAATAAGAGTCTTAGTCTTTGCTTTTTATTATCTATCGCAAAGACATTTTTTAAATGTGCTATTTTTGTAATTTATACAGATGATTGCTACATGATTTATTCAGGATGGACAAAAAACTGTTTTATGTGGAAAAAGGGCAATGAACAGAGTCATTCAATTTCAAACCACAAGCAAACTACACCAAAACGAGACGGAAATTGGTGAAAAGTAAGTTGCAGAGCAATGACCCTTCAAATGCCCTTGGTTTTCTCTTTGAAGAAAACCACCAAGGTGGTTCTTTCTCTCGTTGGACAGAGAGAGGAATTTAAAATTGGATTTTAACTAACACAATTTTGTTATCTATATTCCCCTTCAGTCACAGTTACTGTTTCTAAGGATAATTTGGTAGGGTGGGAGGTTAATGTAATGCGTCTCATCTCATTGCTCAGAGGATGTAATCTGGGAAACATTAAAATGAAATTTGATATTTGTAAAAATCTCAGCACAGATCTCCTTTCTCAGGGGACTCCATCTGTCACTCTCTTTCATAATTGGCGACTGTGAAGTTTTGTTTTCCCCCAAAGAATCCTTCCAGTGAGTGGGAGATTAGCTCTGTCCATCCATGTTGGCAGTAAAATATAAAATGAAACAAGACTATTTAAAGGTACAACAGACTGAGTGTGTAAGTTTAGCGGACTTCTTGAGGGACACTGACTTGTGATGTCGTAGACCACCACAGCCACAGTGGAGTCCCGTATATAACTGGGAATGAGGCTCCTGAAGCGCTCTTGTCCTGCAGTGTCCCAGAGCTGCAACCTCACCTGGGGTTCAGAGAGAGAAAGCTGAAGAGGCTGAGATTATTCAGATAGTCACAGAGCCTGGGAACAGTTGGCTCCCTCCGCACAGACTTACACAGCACATATGAATGCAAAGACATCACTGTGAACATGAACAATGCTACGGTATCTGCTTGAGTTATTGCAGTGATGACACACACACATTATTTGTCATGACATGGTACAGCTGAAGTTCTTACCGTTCGATCTTCCAAGTACATGGTTTTCGATAGGAAGTCAATTCCAATTGTGGCCTGGTTTAGAGGAAGAAGATATCAATGGATCAATATCACTGTAAACACTACGTGAAGAAAACAATTGTTAACCAATATTGGAGAGTAATGATAGAAATGTTAAAGAGGACAGGTTACAGTAAAATCAGGTTATTCAGTTCATTGCCATCTCTTATGTGTGGGGGTAATAAATATATAATGAATGCAACACAATGGAAACCAGCGCACCAACATTAGTGAAGCTTAATGTGAACTGTTTGAACTCTGAGCTAGAAAGAGTGTGTGGGTGTTATATCTGATCACAAATAATACTGGAAAATTCACATCAATCATGGAAAAATCTAATATATCAAAGATCAATACTACACATGACTAAAGATGTTATATCAACACACAAGTAATGTTTTATATTGGTCATTATATATTTCAG